TATGTCAACTAAAATACTATTAATTTGTCCACATAAAATACGAATATAGTGACGTACTGCGTACACCTACAATATTACAAAATCTAGGTTAAATTTTTTTATTTTACTTTATGATGACTTAAGTATATACATCTTAATATTTTTCTACAAGTATTTAATTAACTTAATTGATGAATAAAATACTTAGGAATGAATTTAAAAAAAATGTTTAATTAACTAAGACCCTTAACAATAGTGWGAAAACATGAGCACTAAAAAGAGATTAAAATAATTTTATACAATAAAAAACGCCAAAATCTCTGATACCAGTGATGTGCTTCATTCATGAATYCATGATATTATATTTGAAACTGCCAATTTCAAATGATTCATTAAACGAAACTACGCGTAGGTAATATAATTTTAGTTGACAAATTTATTTTAATTTGTTTACGATGATTGAGCTTTAGATTTGTTTGATGTGTCGTACCTATACCGTAATYATATTTCTACTTCTCTGCATTATCATAATCTATAATACCATATTAGTTTATGTATTCTGTGTTAGTATATAAGCATTTGCGTAAGTTATACCRTAGTGGCAATGCATTTCAGAACAACAAAAAACACCTGTAAGAATAAAACAGTTTTATGAAAACAAAAATGTAGGTATATTGGTAATATTTTGAAATACCTTATACATCAATATTGGTGCAAATTAAGTTTCTTTTTAATACCTTCAGGGMTTATGTCATATATTGTCTATTTAAAAAAATATGTATACCTACTATAATTGGCRTATGATTATTGCATATTGGCGCTTATGTCCTATACTAATGTTTGAGCATATCGTATATGATTAGATAAGTAATATGTATTTATTTTTTAAATATCTTTGATGTTCATATCATATAGGTCTAGCCCTCCATGGAAAAATATCGCTGAAACATTACATCGGAGTTTCTTGTAGTAGAGGTCAAGTGATATATGAAAACGGAAAGTTCTGTCACCAGCTATAAACATAATACCTACCTATATGTATAGGTAGGTACACATCGCTGTGCCGGTACATTTCGTTCAAATAGTCATTACGGACAGACAGATTATGCCAACGTTGGGTGTAGCATCTCACAGTGACCGAACGATACTTTAGAAAGTCACCAAAACGACGACGGATCAGCACTCTGTTACTCCTTTGCATCGCCGCATAGGATTTTACTAAATGTGGCATTCTCTTCGAATCGTCACCTGTATTCGGTCTCCGTACGTCTCCGAAAGGGGAATTATTATATAACTCGACAGATTGCAAGGAGTAAAAACACATTATGTCTATTATAACATGTATATAATACAATATACTGTAACGCCACACTATCGCACGTTATTGTGTTATTAACCACGCATGTGTGTGTGTGTGAGATCGATGAGAACTGGTCTGAGAGTCAGGTAGCTGGTTCCCATGGAAGACCCGGTGCGAATAAGACACAATTTATATATATATATATACGTATATTATACTATATAGACATCGGTCGCGGGCGGATKAAATAGGGTACGCCGGCCCAGCCTCATCCGTCAACCGACGACCTGATTTTTTTTCGCATCCAACCCCGCTTAGGCGCCTATATATGTATACATGAGTACATTATGTGTAATATAGTTTCGCCGGGTTATGCTCGACATAATATTTGCCACGGGGAGGGATGGGGGGCCGTTATGTGCACGAAAAAAAGGGATAACGTAAAAACATATACCAAGCGTAGCTATACTAGCTGGTATAATGTTACCCATCTGGAAACGATTATAAAATCGTTAAACGAAAAAAAATATATAATGTTATTATTATATCGGGATTATAAAAAAAAAAAACGATAAATCGTGCAGTCGTGGTGGTCAAAAACAACAACAATAACAACAACAACAACGAAAACAATAGCATGCACAGCAGACAAAATAATATTATGATTATATCGAGGGTTAATAATTTTATTTTATTTATTTAATATCTACCTGCAATAACTAGCTATACCTACAGACCTACAGACCTACAGTAGAATCTTGCTTATTCGGAGTCCAATAAAAATTATTATAGTCTAAATCTAGACATTTAATACGATTTTTTTTTGTTTTCACTTCTTTTAACAATTAATTTATGTTAAAATTAATGAAAATTATTTAAATTTTTGATAACATAATGAGATAAGCAAGTAAAAATACTTTATCGAGTTTTTTTATTTCCAATATATACCTTCTAGCTACCAATACTGTCGATATAATATAATAATTATATTTGATTATTATGTATCTATCAATAAAAATTTAATATTTTTTGCTAATTTGATTATCATAAAATGTGGTTTATTTAATTTATTAACATTTGCAAAAACTGCGTTTGTTTTTTTTTCATTTATTAAATTCTTATTGTTTCAAAAAAATCTTTATTTTTACAATGTTTTTAGATTCTGAACGAAGTGATAAATGTATTGATTTTACAATGATGTGAGTTTTTTTTTTTTGTGTGTCTCTGTACAGCATAACTAGTCAAAATAATGCTTCAATTTCAAACTTTGGGGGTGGTTTCCGATGTAAAAGTGAATATCCTTGGTGCGTTATAGAGTCAAAAGTAAACATTTTCCAACAGTTTTCAAAAAAAATCGAGAAAAACAAAAAAAAAATGACAGAAAAACGGGAATTTTTACGCAAAATCAGTTTTCGACTAAATCGATATTTTTATATGGTTGTAATTTAAAAACTAATCACTGTAAATACTTGAAATTTT